GGCCTAGGTGAAACTTTTGCCTGCCATAGTCTCCCTTCTTGCTGACCCCTGCCTTTGCCCTCTCTGTCTTCTGTGCCAGGGGTTAACTGTCCTCACCTCCTGCCCATCCTGCCCTTAGCAGCTCCGAGAAGGAGGAACACATAGGCTGGCACGAAGCACAGCCCAGGGGACTGCATGGACCTGAGCACACGCCAGAGCAATATGCAATGCTTAGCCCCTCCTCAGGGGCTGCTCAGGAGATGTACAAGTCACGGTGCACCAGATGAAGCAGAATGAGAAAAGGCAAGAGTTAAAAGCAGGCTTTCCTACAGTACAAAGAATAAGCCAGCCAGTGTCTGTGCTTTGAAGTGGGAGTGTTTTCAACAGCCCCTTTGTTGATCTGCACTGTGGCTGCTTGTGTAGGGACACAAGCCCTAAGGAAAAAAACAACAATAAAAATGAGCAGATGCCTTGTCTGCTGGGGTGACCCTCTTGCTGGTGTGTGTCAACAGTCTTCTCTGTGGTGACAGAGCAAGTGTGTAACCTCAGCGGGTGACAGCCAGGGAGACCATGGGCAGCAGCATGCTGGTGAACACCCACAGCACCCACTGAGAGAGGTAAGCCTGCAGTATGACCTGCTGCACCTGACTAAGTCTGGCCAGAATGCAGCCCAAAACCACACACATCTGTCTTTAGCACCGTGCAGAAAGAGGTACCTCTGCACAGCAAAGTATGGCTATTGAGAAGGATGTTGGGGACAGTGTGTTCAAATATGACCCAGACCCTTATACATTTCATGGATCAGCACCCGGACGGTTAGTGCACCTCCTTGCTTGCTTTCTCCTGCCCAGGCATGCTTGGCAGCCAGAGTGTGTCCCCTCTTCCCAGGCAATGGCTGCACCACAACAAGGTGCTGTCTGAGCATTATTTCACAGGCAGGAGGAAAGGGTGAAGGCAACTAGCCTTCAGTCCCCTCTTTGACCCCTGCCCAGGGCAAGTGACATTACAAACCTCAAAGGAAGGCTACTGGGGACACTCAGAATACCCAACAAAAGGCTCATTTTAGACAAATCCATGCCTTTCAATCCCGTATATCTTAGAAGGAGCTCTATTGCTCTTCAATCTGAACCTTTAAAAATAGTCTGTGTTTTGAAATCATCACAGTGCAGATCATCCTTTTCTGGAGGGTTGATAGCAAGGTGTGAAAAAAAGATCAGACAAGGATCTGGATTCAAAGACAGGGAAGCACATTGAGACGTGTCGATAAGAAGTGCTATATAGTTGCCACATTAAAGGGACTGGCAGATTTCTATCTAAGCTGTTCTTCCTCCTGGATGCATTCATCTCTCAGAGCAGCACTTCTTTATCCATACTGTCCCTGTGACTGCAATGGTGACTTTCCAGAAGACCACATTTTGACCACAGGTGTGCAGATTTGGCCCCCTTCCCTGTTCTTATGATCTCACCCGAAGCCAGTAAGGTCAGGTCTTCGTCCCTGACCCGTGCAGTGTGGTGATGGTGCAGATGGTGTGTGGAGTGCCCGTAGCTCAAACACGTAGCTGCAAGACAATGCTTCGGTCTCGTTTTTAGATTAAAAAACTGAAACTGTTCCACCCGCCCAGCACACACCAGAAAAAACACAAATGAACAGTGCTGGTTTCAGTTCATTCAGAAATTCTTCACTGTGAGGGTGGTGAGGCACTGGCTCAGGCTGCCCAGAGAAGTTGTGGCTGCCCCATCCCTGGCAGTGTTCAAGGCCAGGTTGGACTGGGCCTACAGCAACCTGGTTTACTGGAAGGTGTCCCTGCCTGTGCAAGGGGGTTGGAACTTTAAGGTCCATTCCAACTGGAACCATTCTGTGATTCTACAATTCATTTACCGGACAAATTACACCTAATGAAGAAATGGTGGTGGGGGGACACTACTGAAATGAAGGGTGCGCAGAGGGGAAAACTGTAACAGACGTCAGGGCAGATGCTGAGGCAATCTGTGAGCAGCCGGGAAAGAGCAAAGCCCCCCTGCACTAAGCCCTGCAGCCCTGCATCTCCCCACTGTGTGTGGGTTCCCGGCACAGGATGGGACAATGTGGTGGTCCAAGGGATGCTCAGGCCAGGCAGGTTCCACTGGTTTGGGTGAAAGGGCTAATGTGGGTCGCTGCTGGCTGGGGAATGCTGCGGGTCGCTGGCACAGCTGGGTGGACCCGCGGGCACTGATGACTTTGTCAGCCATGTCTCTGTGAGCAGGATGCAAAAGGTAGTAAGAGAACCGAAAATGCATTTCTTAAACTCACCTTGAAAGAGATGGTAACATAAATTTCGGTTTCAGACTCTCAGTTCTGACAAATTAAACTTGATCAAAACATGATTCATCATTCTTACTATTTAACACTAGGGGAGATGCAAAATTCGCCAGAGAGGAAAGACATGTGTGATACAAAGGTGCTTTAAATAATCCTTCCTTTATCTTCAGTTTTATCTTCCTTTAACTGAAAAGATCGTTACTTTTTTTTCTTTTTTAAATCAAACCAGTAGAATTTAGGCATTAAGTAGAAGAGAAGGCACATCCACCATAAACAAAAGATGGTTTGTGGATGTTTGCATTTGACAACTGTCTTCCAACAGGTAATCAGATGAAATAAACAGATGTGTAGTTGTGCCAGCTACTCGCTGTTAAGAAAGCTAACAATGACATACAGGAAGATACGACACAGTTGGTTTTAATGGTTTCCCCTGTGGTTTTTACTTCTCCTTTTGGTGAAAGTGAGGCAACTATGATTTCTTTCATTTCCACCCTCTTCAGAATTTGTGAAAGTATCCTGTCTGTGTTTCTTATTATATCAGCATCTTCATTTTGCTGCCAATTCCGAAGCAAATCCAGTTGTTCAAATGGATTAAGACTACAATGAAACATAACTGGAAAACCACATTCCTCTCAGTCAGTGTTTTATGCATAAAATCACCAAGTCACAGAATTATCGAACAGTCAAGGCTGAAAGGAACCTCTGGGAACCTCCTAGTCCCCTCCTGCTGCTCAAAGCCGCTGACATATGGGGACTGAAAAATAGGAGTGTGCTCCTCCTGTCACTTCAGTGAAATGCATGCAACAATTTCTGTAAAATACTAACACTTTCTTAGTGCATCTAATGAACAGTCCCTGTTTAGATATTTTGGAATACAAATGGTATTCAGAATTCATAAAGCAGGCCAGAAGCACTCTCCTAGTCTTCATCCCAGAAATTAGGATACATAGGAGATGCACAGCCTCCATCAATGTTTACATACAAGAAGCAAGAACAGTGATGTTTTTGAAAGAATGTGCAAAGGCAGCTGCATCCAGTGTTTCTCTATCGGGACACTTGGCAGCAGCACATCGATGTTAGGCACCACCCCATTCAGCATGTGGTCTGTTTGTGTGCTATTCTGAGTCACTGACTCAGGTTTCTCGAGAAAACCAAGCCCCTAAACTTCAGGTTACATGCAAGGAAACATGCAACATCCTGACTTTAGCCACCTGAACTCTGCTGGATCTAGCTTTTTGTGTCTAGTCCTGTACTACATCACCCTGTAGGAACTGAGGCCACTGAACTCATATGTGCCTGTGCTCACACACAGCTCTGAAGGGAAGCTGTCCACGCTCATTCACTTCAGGGGGCAGGAGGTCTGCAGCAAGGCTCCTCCTCCATACAGGGTTTTTCTTATTTAATCCAGCAGCTGCAGACTTACTTGCAGACTCTTTCTTCAGGTTAAGATTCATTGAGGTCTTTGGTTCATGGTCACTTCACAATTCACTGGGTGATTTTCTTACCCTCTGTTTCTTGCCACCTCTCTGCAGCCATCACCATTCCCATAGCAGAGTCAGGACAATGAGCCCCAACCTCTGGTTTATGGGTGGACTGTCCTGGGGAATGATGCCTGAAACAGTGATGCTCTAGATGTCTTTCCCATGCCCACTATAGCTGGCCCCGTGCTACTCATGAATCAGGGCTGTGATTCCAGTTGAGCAGTGGGAAAGCAAACCCTCACTGATTTCGTCTTGCTCAAGATATCCCATTATGAATGGGAGCACCAGAGGGACCACTGCATGAACAGCTCAGATAGCTGCATGGCCAACGGGACAGCAGAAGCAGTGAGGAAGAAACTTGGTGAGCCATGCCAAGGTAAGCAGCTAAGCCAACCCCATCCATCCATGCTGGTCCCCAGTGATTTCACTGCCGTGTCAATGGACACATAAATGGGCAGCTGGGATGCTACCTTCAACCTCTAGTGGGTTTGGCACATCTTGTCTGTCCTCAGCTTAGGTTCAGTTTCAGTCTGTTCCTGAGTGCTTTGGACAAACTTCAGACTCGTGCAGAAGATTTAAAATATTTTTAATCATAGCTTTTTGATGCTCTTAAGCAGCTTTAAAATGACAACTACATTCAACCAGCACAACTCAGCAAATGGGAAAGTCCTAGGAAATCATATAGGGATCAGGAAAGGTGGTCTGGAGTTTAAGTTGACCAGTTGACAGGCTCACAGATCCTGAGTGTTGCAAGAAATGAAACTTAGTATCTACACTATTCATTAATTCAAACACCTAAATTATAAAATTAAATATTGTTGTACTCTCACTAATATAATTAATTTAGAATTAATTACGATCGTCATACCAATGCCAGATGATCCTTAATATTATACAGGAATTTAATCAAATTACTTCAAAAATAATCAGTCCTCATGCATTTTAAAAAGAATCTAAGCACAGAGATGTCCTCTGTTTAGAAAGTACAGCCGAAGAATTTTATCCAAACCTGTCAAGTTGTGATTGAAAGCGTTAACCTTCTTAGTGCTGAAATAAAACTACCCTCTGACAATCTGAGTGTCTCAGGGATGATTATTAAGGCTTTCTTCTTAGAATTATATTGCTGAATGGTTGAGTGCTTAAATGGACAGCCTGCTCTGAGGCTTTTGAAAATCATATTGGCAACCCTGCAAATGTAGTTGTTACCTTTCCCTGCCTCCAGCCTCAGAGATGTTTATTGATTTGATAAGGAGTTGGAAAACTTTACTTACCTAGAGTTACAGATAATTGATACTTTTCATACTTTCAAATATACAACACACTCCAAAACCCAATTTTATAAAATAATATCTGGACAGTAAAGTCTTCTCTAGATTGACAATACATGTGCTCATATGCATGCATTCGATATGCCTGCTTTCACACAAAAGATTAAGGAACATAAAGCGACCTCGGCATTTCACAGCATAGAAGAATAGAGGGGAAAAAAAAAAGAATAATAAATCTCTGAAGATAGCTGGAGTCTGAAAACATATCAGCTCTTTCAGGCTTCTGGATTTGTATAAATTAAAAGTTAGGATTGTAGCCAATAGGCCAGATGGTGACCTGCTGGACATCACATCTCTTAGAACAGACTTTTGCTCCATTCAAGATGACTAGCCACATGTTGGTAGAGGGTACTTTTTAGTGCTCTGACTTTTCTCTGGCCAAGGTGGATGGTCATAGAGATTTTGGAACATTAATTTTCCTTATCCTTTTTCTGGGGCTGGTTCTTTTTGCTTTCCAGAGCATCTGCTCAAAGTCTCTGGAAAAATCTGGTATGAAGCCTCTCTCAAAATTACGCAAGTGACTTAAAAACTTTCAGGTTAACTCCTTAACATGAACTTTCAAGAATTCTAGTTCAGAAAGTAATTTAAATACACTCAGTGTTTTGCTTCCCACAGTGCCTCCCTGCCCCAAATATCTACAAAATCCATAGACAGAAGACCATTTTTGAGGAAACTGGCGTGGTCTTATCTGGCTGAGAGGTCTTGAGATAACATTGTGTCAACAATTTAGAGAAAGTTCAGCCTAAAATTAGAAGGAACAAAGGAATCATGATAAAAATGAATCACCAAGCGTTTGCCCATCAGCGATATTTTGCATGGTTATTCTAAAAGATAAGTTTCACTATGGTGAGCTTTTTTCTCAGAAACAGCTGATACACAGTATTTCTTAGCACACAAATGGGCTCCAAGTCAAGCTGTTTGTCAACTGGAAATTTCATCTCGCAAGGGAAAAGCTATTTTAAAGCCATTCAGGACTGAAAATCATGTAAAGCACTAAACTGTACATATCAGATTTGCATTACTTAAACTGCTCTTCCTGAGCTTTACAGCTCCCTCTTGTTGGTAGCAGAGAATGTCTGAAATGTATTGAAAATGCCATAGAAGTTTCTTCCATTGTTTTATTTCCATTTGGGGCTGCATCCATGGGAATGTTACCATCTCCCAGTACCACTGGCAGTGGAGAGTATTATTTACATGAATCCACGTAGACATTTATATCATTCTCTCCTAGGATACTGCGTCTGCATGCCATAGCAAGCCACCTTTTGTCTGAAGTCAGAGCAAACAGAAGAAAGTAAACATTGTGCTGGTGAAGATGATTAACAAGACATAAAACATCACACCTGTGACAACTAATTCTTTGTATGTCTTGAAAAACAGCTAATTCATGCTGCTGGCAGAACTACTGTGCCACAGGTACTCTTATAGGGAAACTGTTCCCGTGACTGATGCTCTACAAGGCAGATTTCATCACTTAACCACAAGAGAAGAGCAAAGAGAAAAATATGCTCACAAACTGCCTTTTGCAGCTCCAGTCACTTCTACATGGAAGAAGGCTTGGGAATGGGGTATTTGATACTTCAGGGGTCTGGTACCCCAAGAGGCTCTGACAAGGGCTGCTATTGTGGTCACAACAGAGGGAAGCCTGGGCTGATGGAGTTGGTGGTCATATCTACATCTGGCTACAATCCCACAACAATACAGAAGGAACACAAGTATTGTGTAAGGACCTCCTTTACGTACAGATGCAGTGGCAGCAGAAGTGGCACTCATAGGGAGTGAGAAGACTCGGGTCACTCAGTTGTATTCCCTTACATTAAACCTGTGACAAACACTGGAGAGTATAATGTGCATTCATACGTTTTTAGTTACACAGCTACATACATATGCATTGTGGCCAAATATTAAAATTCTTAAGTGTCCATCATTTCACACCAACTTTGCACTGTATTTATATCATTACAAAAGAGGCTTAAAAAAAAATCACCAGATTTTCAGCAAGCATAAATCAGTTTAGCTCCACTGCAATGTGTTGCCGTGACTTTGGTACAATGTAATTCAGGCCTGAACCACTGAAGGTGCACTGACTTGTGCCAGCTAAAAATATGAATTAAAACCCATCATAAACCAACTAATGTGTTTATCTCCTTGCATCAAAACAAGCTTGGGTGAAAGCAAGCCAATGAGTCTATCTATATACACTATTTTTCATAGGACTGCCAAAATTTTTTTGTTAGGAGATGTGACTGAAATATGAAATTCTCCACGGGAATCAAATACAGAACTGTTAAAATCGCCTCTCTTCTGCTAATGACTTCTTCCAATTCTCATCTATATAACTAAGGTTTTGCTTCTCTGGTAACTAGAGCCAGGATACTATTATGTATTGCTAAATGACTATTTTTGTTAAAATAACTGGCTGCTTTCTTCCTGTCTGAAGGACAGGTCAATTGTATTGAGTTTGTGTTGTTTTTCTTTAAAGCTCTTTAAGAAAATACATTTTTTTCTTAAGGAGCAGTAAAACGAGTTTAAGCTGATACCCACTGCCACTATGTAGAAAGCAAGTTGCCAGCACTGCTGACCTATCTGAGTATATAATCTGAGTAACACTCAAAACTCCGAGTCCTGCAATCTATTCTTATGGGTACACTGGTGTTTTGGACTTTGCTCCTAACTCTTCTTCCAGACATTGTTAGGTACTCATCCCTCAGGCAAAGCCGAAACTTCTAGGATTTCATCTCTGCTTGGTGCCTTTTTAATTTGATTGTAACACAACTTTCACTGAGCTAGTTACAACAGAGTGGTGGAGTCCTGCCTTCAAATGGTTGATCTGAGAAGGGTACAAGCAGAGCCTCTGCTTCTGAGATTCAAACACACTCTCATTGACCTCCCTCTGTAACAAAACTCTTCACCTGCAAGTAGTACACCTTAAGAACAGATTGTGAGTGGGGAGGTCCTCATGCACAGTCCTTTTTGGGAGAATCTGATGACAGAGAGGCAGGTGGCATGCTGAGGCTGCTGCTGCTGCCACAACGCATGGGAAAGGAAGGCACTTGCACCTCCACTCCAGCCTCTCCACAGTCCCTGAGGCACAGGAGCCATTTGGACCAGCCTAGGTCCTTGGATCTATCTAGGGTACTTGACAGGTATTCAGCCTAGGGTGGCATTCATGGGCTCCACCCAGGGCCAGCTAAGAACAGCTGTGTTTGCTAACACCTCTCACAAATGACAGCCAAGAGCTGCATGACAGGTACCTATGGGAGGTATAGTGGGTGAGGGGGCAGGGAGGAGGTGTAAGAAGCATGTCTCCTCTTTCTGCTTCATTGATTCATTCTGCATCTGCTTCCTCCTCTGTAAAAAGGGAGTTTCTAAGTTCACTCCCAGTTTTGATAGCTGGATGAAAAGAGGTGATGCACATTATGATTAACTTTCATACCATAATTTTCATAGGCAGCTATTAGGCTTGCTCATGATTTTGAGAAGCTCTGTCAAAGAGAAAGTCAGACTGAGATCATGATCTGACTCCTTCCCCAGCTCTAGAAAAACTCAGTGGATACCGAACCTTCTCATGTGGCAGGTTTACACTCTGCTCTTTGAGGTATGGCAGTTTCAAAAACACAGGCAAACTCACCGGTTGGGCATGTCAGAGGAGAGGAATATTCCCACAAGGGAACTTGTCTGCCTGACTTGGATATTCAAATTTTGCCAGACAGGATCTCCCTCTGTGGTAGGTGAATTTCCTTCTGCCCTGTCAAAGGAACAGCGCAGGCATTTGCTCAGGAATGCAGTGTCATTAGGTACTTCAGCACAGGAATAAGATGGGTGCCAAAGCAGGGTAGATTGGGGCACAGCCATGAAAACACCAAGGAATGGAGATCTGCCACAGCACAATGTCTCTGGTACATATAGCTGTGTCTCTTCCCCTTTCTAATTACTCATGTATATGTTTGCTGTGCGTATCCTAAAAGAAAACAGTATGAGAAATGTGACGGATTTGTCAATGTCAGTTTTTACCCAGCACTCTCTCCTCAGGAAGGGCCACCAAAGGGTTATTTGCTGTGCCTGGTATCAGTTCTGCATAAGTCGGTGTCCCTCAGCTCCTCAGACTGTGGTAGCAGTGAGCCCAAGGCATGTCACCTGCCACCCCTGCCCTGCACTGGGCTCCTCTGCCTGCTCCTGCCTTCCAGCCCCATGGAAGCCAGAGACAGGCACGGTGTGAACAGCAGAAACAGTGACTGAAGGCCCTTACTCTGAGGCTGGTATGCGAGTTTCCACACACGGGGCAGAGGGTCTGGCACATGATGAGACATGAGGCACGTGGTATGGAAAGGATTTCCTATTGTCGCTCCATAATTAAGGAAGAGAAGCATTTCCAGGGTTTGATTCAGAATAGTGAGGTGAGAATCCTGCCCTGAAGTGCCCTCCACAAGAGCCTTTTTAACGGCAGAGAAGTCACAGTGAGTGTGGCTTTCCCGTGGTAAAAGCAGCTTCTGTGAGCATCTTGTTATTAGCTGGAGAAATCCTTGAAGATCTTAATTAAGGTCTGACTTCACCTAAATGTCTGCAGTCAGGAAAGATAGGTAAGCAGATGCATAAGTTAGCATGAGCTGAGTTATGTTCTTCAAAAAGAGGAACTGAGCAAATATGTAAATGCCTTCTAGAATGGATAAGGCAAGGCAAAGAAAGGCAAGGAAGAGAAACGTAAGGAAGAATAAAAGAAGGGGAAAACAGAACATGAAAAGGGAAAAGGTAGAGTGAGAAAGGTGACTTTCTTCTAAAATGGACAACCTTTTCTTTTATTCTCTGTCCCTTCTCTGTGTATCTATTACACGTTCAATGTTGCTTTTGTTTTATCACTGTGCGTGAAGTGTGCCAAATCCCTTTGCAAAGTCTTGAACCACAAATGAGTCTCAGTTTTGGTTTTGCTACAGCCAATAGCAAATCCATTTACATCCATTACATCATTACCAAATGGATTTGCTTTGCTTGAAAAACATTAAATCTGTAGCGAGAAGGTAATTTTAATGTGTTAGGCTGAATTCTTAACTGCTTAATTTAGTTTGGGTCTTGTGTAATTCTATTTTTCCAGCACTGGTGCGAAACACGGAATAACCCTTTTAATTCTCCAGCACACTTAATCCGGCAGGCTGCTGCACAGATATCACAACAAGGCTGGGCCATTGCAGTCTCTTTAAGATATTCCTTCAGGAAAATAATGATATTTAAAAGGAATAATAACTACTGAATACTTTTTTCTTTCTCTCTGCTCAGTCTAATGGAGCCCTTTGAGCTCAAGACTTTACTTGTATATGACAGTATTAAATTATGATATTTCTTTAAACAATTCAATTCCTTACCCTTGCTGAAAGGCTGAGGGCTGTGACACTGGTCTATCTGCTTTCCTGGGACAAACGCAAGTAACTAGGACTTTGGAAGATCTTGTAAATATTTCTGAAAGCACATTTCATAGCCCTGCACATTTTCTCTCCTCTTGAAGTGTATGTGCTGCAGCTTGCTCTGAGATGGAACCCCCAACACTGGCCATTGAGCAAAGCTACCGATAGCAGGGATTTTTACCTAACCCTAATGATAACCGCCCCGTGACCTGCAGTAATGCTCCTACAGTGTTTCAATAAGTAATAGAGCACTCTATAATCTTTAACAAAAGAAGAGTTATCATATACATACACAGTCTTCAGAGCCATTGCGAGCTATCTGTAATTTACTGAAAACAACCAGCACTGCTTTCATTAAGGATGTCTTAGCATTTTCTCTATAAGCAAGCCATCAGACCATTAGGGGTGAGCTTTAGAGCATCCTGATGAAACACATCACTTCTTGGCCTAGAAGCATAACACAAAGAAAAAGAAAGAAGTATTGACTCTATGTATTTACTCCCATTTAGACAGATTTGTGAAGCTCCTTTGCACTTCCACACATCAGACAGCCTGGTTCTAAGGAACAAAATTAGTTGTATCACTGCAGATAGAATTTAAATAGATCCTCCTTAAAATACTCTACATTTGTTAAAAGATGTATGGCTGGAAATAACGCTCTTGTGCACATGAAGGAATGTTGTTGTTATATGTACTTTTTTTATTAATCTGGTAATGCTTTGTACTTTCAACTGAAACAATACAACACAGGAAGTTCAGGAAGAACTTGATACAAGAAGTACGGCCTGATTTATGCAGAGCTAACCTTCATGCCAGGAGGCTCCGAAGGACTCAGTGAGCGCTCCAACTCCTACAGCCAGAAAGACGAATTGTTGTTTGGCTGGATGCTAGTATCCCCTTTCAGAAAAGTCAAGATACACTTGCAAGTGCAGTGAACAGCCTTAGTGCTTACTTTCAAGCTAGAAAAAGTGTGTTACAGTGAGAGAGAGGGTCATCTGTTCAGCCAGTTAAAAAAAAAAAAAGAAAGATGAAGTGGTATCTCTATAAACCAGCAGGTAAAAAAAGAGTGCCTTAAATGGAAGAAAATAGGAAGTACCAAAGGGATACTGAACGAAACACAGAAGTATGACATGAGCTAGTGCCTGAAAGTTGAATTTGGACACGCTCAGTATGATATACCTTTTAGCGGTGAGGCTGATTAACAGCTGGAACAAACCCTGTGAAGTGCTTTATCCACTGTCTCTTGCTATCTTCAGTCTAAGTCTTCATGAAACATAGGACTTCACCAAATGTAAGTCGCTGAATTAATCCAAAGACCAGAGGAATTGAATTTTACAGTTTGTATTAAACAAGCCAGAACAGATCTGCTGCTCATTCTGCTTTATAATCTATTGGAATATAGATGAGTCTTTCCATTGCTCCCTCTGCACTGGAGCACTTGTGTCACAGCTCATACCTGAAGCAAGACATTTTATATCACGCCTCCTTAGTAGATGATGTTTTCTTAGCCCACTGTCAATCAAAAGTTACAGTGGGAAGAGGCCAAAATCTCATCATGCTGCCTTCTCACATGATAGTAATTCTGATGGTCAGATTAAGGTCAATAACCACAGGAAAATCCAGCGTAGGCTGGGGATTTCAAAACACCCTCCTCAAGATGAAAAGCTGGTGTCTTGGGATGGCTGCCCTGCCCTACCTTTATGATGTTGCTAGCAGGATAACCCTGACAGCAGAGAGTCCCACCAGATTGACTCCTTGACTCAGCAGCACACTGGGGTAGGTTGGCTGAGCTCCCTACTGCTGTAACACCCTTGCTACTGATACCCAAGGCTGCTAGTGCAGCCCCGTGCAAATACATCATAGAGCGTGCAACATCTCCACTGTGCTCCAGGGACAGGGCTGATCCAGCAGAGCCCCTGGCAGGGAAAACCTGCCCCAGCTGCAAGCCTCCAGACTCCTGTGATTTGTTACTTTAAGCAGTTTACATCCATACATGCCATAACCATGTTGGGTGAAGTTTTTTGTGGAGCCTCCCTGTGGAATGTGCATATTTGGACAGGTGCTACTGGGAGGCAAAAGGCACATTTTTCATGCCTTGTGGTCTAAATTTGTAAATGCAGATTCAAAGGTGCCCTTGATGGCTGGGAATTCATAGCATTTCAAAACCAGGTCATTAATCTAGGTGCCTATTTCTGTGCATGTGTTTCTAACTTCAGTCAGAATGAAAGCAGTGATCTTTCTGTTTTGAAATGTGTAAGTAGTATGATTCAGGAGATCCTTCATCTAGTGAGCTGTACTCTGTAATCTTTGTCTACAACAATCTCTCAGTTCTTGGGTTCTCATTTGATTGGCCTGCAGTGACAGATCTGGATAACCTTCCTTGGAATATATGCCTTGGAAACCGCACTTTGTTTATGTCAGATCTACTCCCAAACTGTTTATGTTTGTTTGTGGGTTTTTTTTTTTTTTGTTTGGTAACATCTAAATACACATACAATGTGAAAACAATGTAAGGAAAACTTTGCACTTAGAAAAACTGCATACAGGAAAGTTTGTCTCGGAGGTGCTGACACTGAAGGTGCTTACAAGGTAGAGTATTCTGTCTTTAAGATTTGCTTAAATAGATCCTGCAGTGCCTTGCTGGGTAACATTAAGGACGCTCTTACACATTTCTTAAATTACCTGTGAGGCTATATGTTGTGCATGACAGGGTCATTAACAACAAGCTCTAGCTGACAGTGTTTCAGCCTGCCTGGACTACCAGGAGATAGTCTGGTTTTTCCATTCCCTGTTGTACAAAATTGCACTCAAGGGGGAAAGAGCCAAGGATACGAAATGCTGATGATTATGGCACCAGGGTCTGGCAGTCACACTTGCTTTCCAGCCAGCTTTAATACATATTACACAGTGGCGCATCCTGTCCTACCCTTCTGAGCTGTGCTAACTGCTGCACATGTGCACATGAAGACAGTCCCTGACTCAACATGCAAATCCCAGCTTATCAAACCCTTACTATTAAAACACAGTAAGGAGGAAAGGCACATAATGACCAGACAGGAAAGTGAAAGATGTGGAAAACATGGTAAAAATGTGAGGCTTGGGTTTAGCAACACAAGCAGAGGTCACAGCACACCAAGAACCTTATCCATAGGCTAGTATTTTACAAGCGTCGTGACTAGTGAATTTAGAAAGATCTGAAGGAAGTACCTTTGTGATTTTGGCTGGGTCTCTTCCCACAGTCAAGGAGTGGCATGGGATGAAAGGTGAGGGTGTTTGACAAGAAAAGCGTGCAATCCAGTATTAAAGGTTGGTCTCACACAGAAGAGTCAGGGCTCAGTTATTTCAAAGTGCAATTATTGAATATTCCTATGCTGGCACAGATGCAGTGTTGAGCACAGACATCCCAGCTAGCTGTCTAGGGGGTGAGGCAGGAAAGACTTTCACATGGACAAGTTAAGCTAGCTGAAAAGGACACTGTATCTCTATGTCATGTTCTGCAACGTAAATATATTTCCTAACATGCTTCCCTGTAACTATTCCCTTCTTTACCCAGTTGCGCAGGACTGAGCTGCAATATCCATGAGGTGAAAAACAAGTTCTTCACTGAGTCTGATGCAGTTGGTTTAACACAGGTGGAGGGATTCATTCTTTGTATAAATGAAATGACCAATACAGCTGTGTCATGGCTGATACAAAACCAGTGTCATTCGCTAAAGTGAAAGTGGGCTTGGAAGGGAAGCCTATGCCATAATCAAAAGACTGAGGCTTTGAAGAAGCTGAAAGATGGCAGCATTACTCTCAAGGAAGGAGTCATCTCACTTCTTCATGGCCATCTAAAAGTTAGGGTTTAATCCTGTCACAAGATAGATGTCAATCACTTGTTGGAAATGGCTGCTTCCCTCCACTACCTATAGAGAGAGGCTATACTCACCCTTCTTGGTCTAACTTTTAGACAATTTCAGGTTAGATAAAATAAATCCAACTGCAGGTTTCTACAGAGGACTTCCCTATTGCTTTCCGGTGCTTTTCATGTGTACAAACCTCACTTCTACTCCATACTTGTTCTAGAAAAAGATCTCAAGAACGCAGAAGCATTTCTAAGGAAAACTTGCCAAGGGAAGAATTGGCCTTATTTTGCTGAGCAGGCATTTTCATTTCACAGGTTTACACCAATGTTTTAACTTATAAGCTTCCTGAAGTATTTATATCTCCACATACAGGCCTTATGCTTGTTATATGACTCAAAAGATCAAATAATTAAATATCCATTACATTCTTAGCTCAGCAGTAAGATATTTTTAAGTGAAAATCCTTTCAGTACTTTCAGATTGGTTCTAAATAAATGAAATTAAACAAAAAAGCTAATTGCATTACAACTCGGTTTGCTCCCACATCAAATTTTTCTTACAAAAACTGCTCAGATGTTGCCAAATGACTTCTGCTCACAAGTGAAATGTACGCACGAGTTATAGCCATCATGTGAGTGTGAAAACAGATTAAAATTAATGCTCTTTTAATTTTCTGTACAATGTATGGTTTGAATGGTGTTATTTTTTAGACAAGTAATTACAGGGTGGAGAGAATGCATGGCCAATGGCAGCAGGTTAATTACAAGATCAAACACCCACTACATCTTGCTCAAAGAGCCTTGAAACGATTACACATTGTTGTAACTAATAGCCTAGTTAGGACTGCTGATTGGAGAGCTACCCTCAACTTAAAAGAAATGTATAACTTCTACCTAAGCATCTTCACCATTTTTACAAATAATGCTGTATACCATAGAGAAATTAGCGAAATTTCTGGACACAGGGGATATGAGATTATTTACATTGTCCATATGACAATTTTAGATACAGACTACCTTCATCCCTTTGCCTTCTTGTGGTTGGCCAATTTCTTACCCTCTTTCACAACACAGCAGTCTGGTAGAAAATACTTGAGAGATCTGTGATTAAAAATCAAAACTATCAGAAAGCTTTTGTGGCACCTGCAGCAGCTCTGAACTTTGTTTTAACTGACTGCATTTTAAATTATATGGGATAAGGCCAGGAGAGATCATCTGATAATGCATATACCAGCCGTTAAATTTCTCCTCAATACCTCTACATTGAGAACAGCACTCCCGGGATAAAAAGCATTTTCCAGGAAAGCATTCAGTATTCATCTTAGGATGAATCCAGCAAGATTCTAATATTAGGCTAACATTGACTGCTAACCTCTAACTGGGACCTGGCCCTTGTCCCATGTGCTTCTGGTTTCCAGGAGCTGTTCACCTGAAGACAAACATACATGTTGCTGAAGCCAACACAAACACTCACATACTGCAACTGTCATTAAACTCTCATCCACATTGAATATGGATCAAAGAGCACGCTTCACTACAGGACAGAGCCTGTGTGTGCTCTGAACCTGCAAACACAGGTATGCCCAAGCACCCTGCCCAGGAAGAGCACCCTGCCTTGAAGACAGCTGTGGAAGAACAGCTCCAAGGCTCTTTCTCCACTAACTGACCTACTGGACATTTCAGCATCCAGATCCACTCCTTTGTGCCTGAGCGTATGCAAGTTAAATTGTTAGCATGGTCCGGCTATGGACCTGATAGCTCACAGAGTGCTACAGACTAGGAGTCAGTACGTGTCAGGATCCACTCCAGCAGGCAATCTGCATGTGGCCACCCTGTTTTAGAGCTAAAACAATTTAAAACCATGGAGGTGCCCAGGCTAGGTCAGTTGGCTGTAGGGCTAGAGAAAGCCCCTTACACTGTTTACCCCCAAGGGGTCTTGACCCAAAAAGCTTTTATCAGTAAATTGCTCTGAAATATCTTCCATACATAATGCAAAAAATAAACATCTTCTTTGAGGGAATTTTCTTTACAGCTTTCATAACTTAACCATATATAAATCGAAATTAAGATACATTTATTAAGATAGCTGCCATTTATACAGTTTTATGCTTCCCTCTCCCTAAAAATAGAGCAAGGATAATTGAACTGAAAACCTAAGATTTCCAAAACCCAATTACGTAAATTGCCACACCTGCCCTGTTTTCCCCCCTACTTCCCTCCCTCCCCTCCATTTACTTGCATTTTAAAGAGGTCAAGGTTATTAAACTCCTACATTCATACAGCAAGAAAGAGGGATCTAAACATAAAGATCTTTCACGCAGCATGAACTTGCCCACAGAGTCTGTATGTACTGTTTGTTTACCAATTAGGCTATGAAATCGATACTTTGATGTACACAGTGCATACAGTTCACACAGCCGAGATAACAGTGCAATGCAAAACTTCTTTTCCCCTCTCAGACTCGTGTTTATAGTGTCCAAAGCTGCAGTTCTTACTCTGGCTGATTTATCTACCTCAGTGGGCGTGTCGTCTATGTAAGGACTGAAGTTTGATGACCCACGTTTGCAATGTTAATGCTACTCTGACATCAGCTTTTGCATTGCGTTATACAAAATTACAGCTCTGTCTCTCCTGCTCTAGAAACGCATGCACACTTGGGAAGCCATGAAGAGGGTTACTTGAACAATTTCAGTCTTATCTATGAATTTATAGCTTCCAATAGTGCACTGATTTATACAGCATGGCACTATACATCAGATATATGCTGCCTCAGAAAATTAATGCTGCATTCTGGCAACCATATGGGCAGCTGGCGAGCAGCCAAGAGACCAGCAGAGCACAACCCTGCCTTCATGCAAACCTTCCCTACACAAGAGAACTGTTTGCATGAACTGCACTAGCCAAGGAGCAGAAATAAAGGGATGTTGTTGCTGCTTACACCATCAGACCCCCCAGGGGTAGATGTATACCAACATGATTAATGAGAGAAGCTGCAGAGACGCAACCGCCTTGTGGCACGTAACCACATGGGCACCGCATTTCTCGATGTCTCAAGGAATGGAGAAGATTGCAAAGGTCTCCTCGTGTATCTATTTCTTCTCCATGGATGTCTCTTCCAGTTGTTGCTCTCACATGTGAAAAAATTTAGCTTGCAATCTCTACGGGGAAGGGCATTTATTTGTTCTGTAAAATGTACATTACGTTTTGAGTGCTGAACAAACAATCACAATAATGGCTTACTGTAGCTTAGTTATCTTAAGCACCTTAAAAAAGAAAAGAACATTGTTCAGGAAGGAAAAAAGTAAAAAAAAAAAAACCCAACAAACCCAAACATTTCTTACTGCAAGTAGAACACTTTTTGTTCCCTGTTTTCTCATTTTTCTCACCCTATTATTTCTTATCAAGTACGTGTATGGAGTTAAATCTAACTCTGCCACTGACTTCAGTGGGCTACAGGAATGCTGGGCTGAACTTGAAACTCTTCAAATAGGATTTTGTCTTCTCATTATGTAAATGATAAAAATCTCAGAAAGAAGACAGAGGAAAATTTAATTTAATGGTTTCATGTAACTTTATGCAATACCTTAAATGGAAGATGCCTTGATGATAGCTCAAACACACAATCCTGTTTATAATGTATTTTATGTATATAATGCTTTCCATTCATAAATATCTCTGAATTTTTTTTACAACTGTTCACAGGAATCATGTCACTTCCTAGGCTTTACAGCAGCTGTTTTACTTCTCATTGCAACAGCCCTGTGGAAAAAAAAAAAAAAGGATTGAAAGTGAAGCAGCACACATTTTCCACTATAAACTGGCTGGTATACTATAATTTCATGCTTTGGCTTCCTGTACACTAGCTTTTCCAAGGAGACCAGGGCTTACGCTTTATCTCCTGCAGTACAATCTCCATACGCATACTGTCCTGCTGGTTCACTCAGCCAGCTACATTCTTGTCTACAGTAGGATTTTTCTTAAATCCTGATGCTGTACTAAAGCTTCTGCCATTTGACTGTTTATGGCAACAACTTGTTCTGCAGGTACAAGCAACCCTGGTTTCTTTTCGTACTGATTCAGCACTGCCCGGTTCAATGTAGAGCTAATCAGCACAGTTGCTGTTGCTATCTGACCATCAGTAGCATTTCCATTGCTCCTGCCAATACAGAAATACATTGCAGTGACTTGGGATTGCTGAGAAATTACATCTAAGCACTGTTAGCCCGCTCCAATTCTGCTCAGTTTGAGGGATTTGTTTGTATCCAGGCTGGAGGCTAGCTACAGTTTAGAAATGCTGACTAGCCACGGTTAAAATAGAAATAAATACATTCACAGTGGATTATATACACCACATCAGCCCAGCATAGTGATAATTTTATTCCTGGTGCTCCTCGGCATTTGAAAACCCAGGCACGCCTGCAATGCTAAATCAACTACTTGCAGCAACCAGTTTTCCCAGAGCAACCGCCTCTTTTCGCCCAGGAAAAGCAATTTTATCTATGTAGCTTGTAATAGTGAAATGGTGATCTATGCAGACCCTGAAGTCCCCTTCCAAATCATGAAGTAATACAGCCACTGTTCCTCATCCTGTGTCTTGAACAATCCCATTTCACCAATATCCAGACAGAGCCAAGCATCCAAATCAGCAGAGTACTCTGCAGACGTCACCTGTGACAGAGCAAGCAACTATTCACCTGAGTTGCAGACTACCATATCACAGATTTTACATGGTTTCTTGGTCTTTGCAGGCACTGCCAGAACATCCAACGTTACCTGGTAACATACCCTTTCTAGATGTGGGGTTAAAAAAAAAAACAAAAAACCAGCATAAATTTTTTCTTCTTTTATGTAAGAAGAGTTTGTTCTCTTTTTTCTTCTTCTATCCAAATTACTTCTAAAAAGAATACAATACAGTTTTAGGATGATATTACAACAATCTCTCCGAGTTCCAAGCTCTCCGAGGACTCTCAGAAGGGCTTTCAACACCTCCCAGGGTTTAGGACCTGAGAAATAGGATCTCTTCCGTCCTTGGAACTGCAAAGCTCTGGTATGGCACAGTTACAGATGTAGGGCAAAAGCATAACTGACCTTCACCTGTAAAACCAGAACTGCTGGTACTTACACAGGAGCTATACTGCTGGATAAAAACAATAATTTAATTGCTTAATGTAGACAAGGTCTCTGAGGGATCTCCTTCTTCAAATAACCCAGCCAATCAAAACTTCACCAGTAAAGCCCACTTGTCTGAACTCCCTCAGTAAAGAGGAACCGTAAATACTCTGCTAGGCTCACTAAAAACAAACGGTATTTCCCCCTTTTTAACCACCTGAAGAAACCACAGAAAAATAGGCACTTGGGCAACCCAGCTCAAATATGACTGTTCTAGGATGAAGTTCCAGAGTCTGCCCAATGCCAAACAAATGCGACCGAGGATGCGTTACTTCCTCCAGCGGGTTAAAAAACAAAGCAAATCCCCTCCTTGGATTCGAGTCTATACAATGGGCAATGCCTCTTACAGCCAACTGACACGTTTCGTTAGAAACCACACATAAATTACGTATCTAAAAACCATCAAAACGCATCTGATGCTTTAACTTCACCTCAAGTTCACCTCAAGCTGTAGCGATTTCTGACAATACAGCATTTTCAGGCAATTCCTTTCACGCAGCGATCCAAAGACACTCCTTAAACATCATTAACCACAGCAGCAGCACCCAGGGAGAGCGCGGGGTGCCGCCGAGACACAGCAAGGCCAGGGGACGAGCCGGCGGCCGCACTGTGAACGGGCAGCACCGCTCCGGCCTTGCCCCGGTGTCCCCCCCACCACCCAGGCCGTGTGCCCTACCCGCGGACACGGAGGCAGCAGGGCCTCCACCTGCGGGGTCTTTGTTCCCGCAGCCGCCCAAGCCCCTTTGTTGGTGTGAGCGCCCGGCGCGAGGCCTGCTGCCAGCAATGCCCCCACGCTCCATTCCGCCTGCCCGCGCCCCTTCACCGCGCGGAGGCACCCGTCACACCTGGCCCCGCCGCGCCCCAGCCCCCCGTCCACGGCCCGCAGCCCCCGGCCCCCGTCCCGTCCCGGTGGAGCGGCGGGAGGCAAGGAAGGGGAGGGGAGGGGAGGGGGCGCCCTCCTGAGGCGCGCGGCCGTCGCCGGGAGGTGACGGCTGCGGGAGCGCGCGCGCGCGCGCCCCGGGAGGAGGAGGAAGAGGGCGGGCTGTCCGGCGGCCGGGCGGGGGCGCGCATGGGACGGTGTGTGAGGGAGCGAGCGAGGGGAGGGCGATACCGGGGCGGAGAATAGGCGGCAGCGGCGAGTCCGCTCGGCTCAGGGCAGGCAGAACGGCGACAGACGCTGCAGAACCGGGAGACAGAGCGGCCGCCGCGCCGGCTCGGGGCATCCTTTTTCCTCCTCTCCGCCCCTCCCCCTTTCTTTTTTCTCTTCTTCCTCGCCGTCCTTCGGGGCCGATCGCTATCGGCGGCGCGATCCCGGGGCGTTTCCGCGGCGGCGGCGGCAGCGGCAGCGGGGGGAGCCGGCCCCTCCCCTCCCCAGCCGCGACTGGGGGACCCCCTGCTCCGTCCCCGTCTCCGCCCCTCGCCGGGGCTCGGCGGAGAGGGCCCGGCCTCGGCTCGGCTCGGCTCCCCGGCGGCGGGCTCGGCGAGGATGTCGGGCGGCGGCGGCAGTCGGGAGGAGGAGCGGCGCAAACTCGCCGATATCATCAACCACTGGAACGCGAACCGGCTGGACCTGTTCGAAATCAGCGACCCCACCGAGGTGAGCGACCCCGCCGCTCTCTTCCCCCCGCCGCCCGCCCCACTGCCCCCCGCGGGCCGCCGGGGAGGTGAGGCACGGCGCCCGGGCCAGGCCGCGCCCGCCTCCGCCCCGCGGCCAGCCTGGCCCCCCGCCTGGCCGGGGGTTTCGGGCATAGGCCTCCTCCCGCTCCCCGGTAACGCTCGGCCCGCTCTGGCCGGGGAGGAGGCGCCGCTCCTCGGCAGGGAGGGCTGGGGAGCGAGTGTCGGGCCCCTTGCCGTGTCCGGAGCAGCTCGGGGGAAGGCAGGTTGCAGCAGCCGGGGAAAGAAAGGGAGCGCAGGGCCGGCGCCGTCCCCTCCTCCCTCTCGCAGGCACATGCCGGCCCGACCCTGCGGGACAGACGGCTCCGGGGCAGGAAACCCTCTGGGAGCTAGAGGTGGTGAAAGAAGGCGGGCAAGGGCGGTAATACAGAAGCTACCCCTAATCGCGACCTCGAAACAGGTTATCTCCGTGGGGGTTGGTTTTTTTTGTGTGTTTGCCTGTGAGTTACACAGAACCGAAAGGCGGCTGGTGGAAGAGAAGGGCTGGGAAGACTGGTTGTGGGCTTTTATTGTTGTTGCTGCTTGCTTGTTTCTTGAAACACTCGGCTTTGTGCAGAAGGTGCCTCGTCCAAGGCGACCCGCTGTAGTTCAGCGGCTGCCCGAGCCGCTGGTGCATTCTCCGGGGCAGCTTTCCCCGGGGCGTGACGGGCGGACGGAGTGCTTTGGCTCGGTGCAAAGTAAATACCAGGAGCAGGTTCGTAGTCCTGAGTTCACATGTTGTACTGGAAAAACACAGCGGGTAATTTCTTCCTAATGAAATGGGTGTTTCTAATGGCTGAGAGAGGCTGGGTTTTACTCTTCAAAAAAAGCCCTAATAGCCAAACCACACCCTACCGCTACCCCTTGTCGTGTTCCCTGTGGCTGGTTAGTGCTGTGCGTCTGGTTTGAAAGCGGCGGGGGGGGGGAGGAAGGGAGAGGGCTGGAGAGGCAGGTTACAGCCCAGTGTGTGTGTGTGTGTGGACAGCCCGCTGAAACCCTGCTCGGAGGGTGGAGGCTGGTCATGTGCATGTTCCTGGGGAAAAGTAGGAAACTCACACTTGCTCTTGGCCTGGCCCTGGTCCCGGTTGTTTATTATCAGAAGCCTCTGAGAATTCACGTTGGCTTGCTCTTTGAGCTTGCTGCTGTTTCTGCACCCAGGTGCTGTCTGCTAGTGTAGCCACGAAAGAAGTCTTGAAAGCAATTCTTAAGATTATTAAGTCTGATGGCTTGAAGAGAATTGCTTTGGGTATATTCAGTTCTGCTCACTACATGCTGTTTCGTGAACGCCAAGACAAGGGCTTTCTGTGATTATTTTGTACATCTTGCAATATTTATCATAATTAGAGCTTCTTGCTTGTGTTGGTTAGGTTTTAACAATATCACTCTTGGCAGACAAGTCGCTTGTTCAGAAAAGCAGGCTGATGCTAGTGTGAAGGAGTACTCCTGTTTGTATTTGAGAATAGGTACAGTCTGTCTGGAATTGCAGATTGACTGCTGACTGTAGCTCAGTTTTTGTCCATTCCCAGTACATTCTAACTTCAACCTGTTTTCTTTGTTTATGGCAGACTGTGCTTCTGTAGTTTTATTGGCAAGTAGTTTAACAAATATTAGCATTTTTTAGGTCAGCTTTATGTGTTGATCATAATTAACTAGACTTTGCACAAAAGCTACCAGCTTTATTGTAGTTACTGTAGAAAGAAATAATAATTTTACTTGCATTAGCTCCACACTTTGGCAGTTAAGCCTCTGAACCTGTCTAGGGGCACTTACCACTGTCAATGATGACATTTCAGTTGAACTATGGATAGTAAAATTAAGTGCATGCATATCTCTTTGAACAGTTAAGCTTTTTAGACTACTAGTTCTAAGAATGTTTGGTAAGTCTGCAGGTGCATTTACAGCAAACAGTAGGTAACAGTTTTATAAATATATTTTCAGATAATTACAAATGTTTTTTCACTGTTACCTTGAGCTGACCCAAATTCAGCAATATTATCAATGCAGATGATGGTGTGATTCATAGGTGAACTATTTATCAGCTTTACTAGGCTGCTTGAGAGCTGACAATCTTCTGTTGTTTTCCCCACTTTTCCAGGCTCAATTTGGCCACAAGGCACATCTTGCTTATTGTAGGGGCTGCATCAAGCATGGCATCTGTGAAGATGCAGTAACCTGGATGTGACTTTTGTTGGCTGTGCCTGAGCTGGGTTGAACTGGGTCATTTTAAACTGTACAGACATGGTTGCAGGCCTGCAGGGTTAGCTTTTCAGCTAGCACATATCCGTACTGCAAGCTGTCACCCAGGAGCTTCTGGTTGTGTTTATCGTGGTTCAGATACCCAGTCTTGATGCGTTAATAGTGATTCTTCGGGCATTTCTTCAGATTAAGTAACTTGTCTTCTAAGTTTCCTACATATATGGAGAGAATTTTCCACTTCCTTAATAGTAGGGTTTCAGGGAGGTATATATTGTCAGCAAAGAAAAGGAATAGTTAAATCTAATGTAAATTGACCAGAGCTGTGACAGCATAGCTTAGACCAAGACAGTGAAAGGTGCTTGCATGTGACCTACTGATGTACCTCGGTGTTAGTTTGAAAAGTCTAATTCTTTGGTGAGACACAATTGCTATAATTCCATTGGGTCCTCACCACTTACATTGACAGTATAAAATGTAACTTGGCTTTGAATGCATAGGGTAGTATTTTGAAAGCACTCTAAATGTGTGTGTCTTTTTTGTTTGTTTTTCCAGATAGGTGTTTCATGAAATTAATCGGTTGGAATTCCTGTTAATATTTTATTATGTAGACCAGTCCTAAGGAATTAGAGGTTCGCATGTCCACTTGCCTCTTCTGAGAGTTAAACACAAATTATTTCTTAAAGTATATTGACAGTAAGATACTGAAAAGCAAATGCCTTAGGTAGGGCATATTGAGTTCTGTTAACTTTTTCCTAGATTGTTGTGTGATGTGAACA